ATACAACTTTTAGTAATACATAGAATGTCCACAGTCACTTTAAACTTAACAACCTTTATAACACACGCTATAAATCACAGTGATTCACACACTTTACTTACGGTGCCTACTGTTCGCTTGACTCAGTTATCTATCTCTTCAGTCTATCTGCATATCTATCTATCTATGCCATTGGGCTGGTTTTTCTCGCCAAGCTTATATACTAAAAAAGAGGGCGCCTCGAACAAACTAGAGTTGCCAGGAAAATTCATAATCCTTCCAGAAACTCCAGCGCGCATGCTCCCAGCATCGCGTGACTTCCGCTGTCGTAATAGTATTTTAGAAAACAGTAGTTAGCCGACCTTGTTTCTGTACAAAAAACGTACTTTGAACTGAAGAAAGGGACCACAGTTTTTAAATATTAACTAATTATAGTTCATTTAACTGATTGCCCACGAAATTTAAATACAATGCTGAGTAGTTCCCAAAGTATAGTATTATTTCTCTGCGAGGTTTGTATGTTTGATGTAGCAGTTGAAAGTATAACACCATTTGTTTTCTCGCAAATTTTATATATTTTAATGTAATACCTGAAAGTGTAACATCGTCTGTTTTTCTGCAGATTTTGTATGTTTTAATGTAACACCTGAAAATGTAACATCGTCTGTTTTTCTGCAAGTTTGTATGTTTTAATGTAACACCTGAAAATGTAACAACGTCTGTTTTTCTGCAAGTTTTGCATAGTTTAATTGTCAAATAATGGGTCTTATTCTTCTTAATATTATATATATATAGCAGTAGTATTTAGTAAGTAGGTTGAATAATATGGGTGTTGGGCTAAGTAGGTGTCTGTGATTTGTTGGCGATAAATTCAAAATAAACGAACAGTACGCACTCCATTTGTTCTCAAAATAATATATATATATATATTCGAACTAGTTAAACGCATGTACATCAGATTCTTCACACTATAGAGATCATAGAAATATCATAAACACTATATATAGTTCTCTTCTTATTGTCAAAAGTTCACTTATGCCTATTCAATTGATTTAGAATTTCAGTTGGCAAGCCGAATTACTTTCCTCTATTTCTATCGCACTAGTATTCCGTGTATAATTCACTTACAATTATAGCGTGAGTTACCACAGTCGTATACCGCTCTTCCAGTAATCGTCTGGTCCTCGTACCTCAGATATCGTCTGCTCCTTTTGTCAAAGTGCACTCAGGCTGGTTCAATTACTTTAGAACTCGCTTTGACCGAATAGACTATGCTCCTTATCTCTTTTAAAAGTGTTAGTTTTACTCTAACATATTAATAGTTAAGCCTTTCACTCCTACAGCAGTTAACTTTATGTCTAACTTTTCTTTGGCCAAACTTCTACTTCCCGTGATTTTACTTTCTCGTCTGCTCTGTCTGTCTGCTGTTCCCGCTTGTCTCACAGTATTTATATATTTATCACTTAATCCTCTGCTCGCCTTCTAGAAATCTCTATCTCCTCGACATCAGTAAATTTCACGCAACGTTCGATAGCCTCAACATCAATGAATTATAAACATAGCGTACGATTCTTACCGAGTTATGTAACTAAACTTGTCATAACGTTTAGTTTAAAATAACTGCTTTTAATTCTCTTGTTAAGAAGAAACTAAACAATCATAAAGTATTCACTCATAAAATAAATAAATTAATAATACCTACAGTAAATAGTATTTTATATCATGACATTAAAGTAGCTGCTAAAAATCTAACATCTTCTGTTTTTCAGCAAGTTTTCTCTGTTCTAACGTAGTAGCTATAAGTGTAACACTGCTTTTCTGCAAGTTCTCTATTTTAATGTAGCAGTTGTAAATGTAAAATAGTTTTGTATGTTGAACGTAGTATGTTTTTGTTTTTAATTATGCACAAAGCTACACAAGGGCTATCTGTGCTCTGCCCACTACGGGTATCGAAACCCGGATTCTAGCGTTGTAAGTCCGTAGACATACCGCTGTGCCACTGGGGGGCTGAACGTAGTAGCTGAGTTCTCTATTTTCTATTGTAGTTGCTGTAATGTGACGTTCAACAAACCTGTATCCCAGTCTTCCCACGTGTATATGAAATCAGCATATTTAAAACAGCTTGACCACGTAAACACTTTTAAACCTTTCGTCATAAAGTCAAGTTGCCGTTTTTTTATTTATCTCAACAGCAATTAACGATTGTTACTCTCTCTTGTGGTCATATTATTACGTCGATGAGGTCATGTGTATCGATGTTGTGTACACTAAATTTAAGTATTAAAGAGACAATTATTTATTTACAAACTGATTTTGGTAAATGGTTCCAAATGACGTCAGTCCAAGAGTTCACAGATGGGTAGAGGTGAAGAAATCTTTGTTGTTGTTGTTGTTTTTGTGTAAGAAAGGTTAAATTACATCATTAACAGGAAAGTTAAATGTTACTCGTCCTACACATAGAACGATCGAAAACTTCCAAAAACATACAAGTGAAGTCGCTTTTTTGCCTCTAAATAATTTTTATTCTAAATGAAAAATTAATTAATATTAGGGCATATTTTTGACTCTTACGTCAGGACATTTCATAACGATGGGGTAAAATTATACAAATTAAAATTTATATCCACTATTAGGGAATAAGAAGTTTATGTGGATAAAAGTACCGTCACTCATATGTCCTCTTCAGTCCAACTTCTATTTATCAACCTCGCCCCCGGAGGGAGGAGAGATGGTATAGCATGGTGTGTCTGTCTGTTTCCGCACGGCTATTTCGAAAACACGGAAATTTTACACAAGATGGAAAGTCACTATGGGACAATCCTCTCCAAATTTGGGCCTAATCCGAATTCTGGAATTTTTTATAATGAGGAGATAGGATATTTTCGCAGTGTGTAATTAATAACTCTGTAAAAGTGATCGGATTTGTATCAAATTTCATGGGCACATTAAGAATGACACTCCTCAACACCCTACAAAAGAATGATCCGGATCGTTGATCATTCTGGATCTCAGAACTATTTTCTGAGTTATCGAAGATGAAATTTTACATTATCCAATATATATATGCATCCGATCTCGAAAAGGAGAGGTGGGGTGATAGTATGCAATCTCTCTGGTTGCTCTTGTTTTGTTTTATTTCATATGACTTTACAAGGCATCGTGTACTTACTTTCTATTAGAATTACACAAGTATCAAAAGCAGGTAACTTTTAGGGTAAATATAAGTATCAAAAAAACATCAACTATGCACAACGTTTGATTTTTATGATTCGCACAAAATTACTCGACTAAAACTGTGAAATAAAACGTGTGTATAAACGTTTTTTTATCACTTTAACAACTTCTGTTTTGGTATTTGTCCTTTACGAGAGTTGTGTAATAGTGTTTTCATGCACGTTGCGTTCCGAGTGGTCTCTACTTCTTGTTAATAATCCGATCTACAAATACGAACCGTTTTAAAGAAAGAAAAGGCTTTAAAAGTTGATAACTATCACCACAAGTTATAATTCAACTTAACCGAGTACGCTGTCAAACAAACGCTTTGATAAAGTAAAATAGTAAAAGTAACTAACAAAGTAATACCATTACTGATTATATTGTTAAGCAAATATTTTAAAAGCAAATTAAAGTAAAAGAGTAAAAGTAGATACTAAAGTAAACCATTTTATAAAGCATCGAAATTTCTCTCATACAGAAGTTAAAAACAAATAATATTTTCTACTTCTGAGCTTAATGTTCACATAATTATAATTTATAAAAACGTCATTTATATATAAATTTATTCATTTAAAAAAACAGAATTAGTCTCAACCTTTGCTACTTTGTTTCTAATATTGAAATTTTTACATTCTTTCTCTTTAGAGTGACAAATGAATAAGGATATCTTTAAAAAATAATTACTTTTCACTATTTTCCTTTATGTATCTTAACACCATTTTTTATTTTCGTCATCACAATATCTCTTGGCTAAAAAACTGGATAACTTATACTTCTTAATAATATAAACATATACTGTGTTGTTGTTGTTGGGCTTAGGATTCTTCTACAGTAGGTGTCTGTGATTTGTTGACGACAAATTCAACGATAAATGAACAGCACACACTTCACTTTTTTCAAAATAATATATATATATATTCGGAACAAGTTAACGTATGTACAACAAATTATTAACACTATAGATATTATGGGTATATGATAAACATATATATATATATATATAGTTCTCTTCTTGTCAAAAGTCCACTTAGACCTATTCAATTCCTTTATAGTTTCAGTTGACAAGCCGAACTGCCTTTTCCTATTTATATCACATTAGTATTCTGTGTATAATTCACTTACAATTGTGGCGCGAGTTATCGCAATCGTATACTGCTCTTCCAGTTATCATTTGGACTTCTTTCTTATAAATATCTCATGTTCCTCAAAGTGCACTCAGGTTCATTCAATTACTTTATAATTACGCTTCGACGGAATAAATTATTATTCTTATCCCCTTTTCTACTGTTAGTCTTACTCTTTACATATCAAACGTTAGGCCTATGTTAATTGTTAGGCCTATCACTTCTACGGCAGTTAACTTCACGCCGAATTTTTCTTGGCCGTGACTTTACTATCTTCTGCTATTGTCTGTCTGCTGTTTCCGCTCGTCTCACACTATTTATATGTTTATCTCTTAATCGTCTGCCTGCATTCTAGAAAGCTCTATATTCTCGACGTCAATGTATTGTACGCGACGTTCGATAGTCTCAACAGCAATGAATTATAAATACAACTTCCAATAATCGTCTGCTTTTAACTCTCTTATTATAAAAAAACACTAAACAATCAAGAAATATTAACTCACAAAATAAAGTAATCAATAATATCTACACCCGACAGTCTTTTATATCATGACACATAAAACAACACACAAAAAAGATCAAACACTTTCTTACCTTCAAAATGTTGCTAGAAGCATTAAAAAATAATCAAATTTACTACATGAAATACTAAATACTACCAGATAATAAGTTTTAACTTACTCTGCTTGAAGCCTAGGTGTGGAACTCGGTGAATGGGTGTATTTCTTTCTTTCATAAACTTAAAGAGGTTCTGCAAAAAATCCTGTTCTTTCTTTGTGTCCATTTTTCTGATTCCATTTTTCACATTGTCCGTTTTCACCTTGCAGTGAAAGAAAGAATGCAATTTTACGAGGAAGTCTCTTTGGCTTATCTAATTGGTTATTCACGCAGCAGGACACAAATATTTGTTATAAACCGTGTATTTTAGCCTCTAATACAATAGAAGGAATGTGACGAGATCTAGGCTTATAGTTTCACTTGAAATAACTTACCTTAAAATATGATAAAACAGATATTTAAACACAAATAGTTTATTACGTAAAACGATGAATCAAATATACGTTCTTAAAATTAACACACTAATTACATAAAATGCCTTCTTAAAAATGTATGTTTAATTTATAGTTTTATCTAATAAAGGGCATGTTCTGTAGTTAGTGTGTGTTAATTTTAACAATGTATGTTTAATTTATAGTTTTATCCAATAAAGGGCATTTTATGTAGTTAGTGTGTGTTAATTTTAACAATGTATATTTAATTTATAGTTTTATCCAATAAAAGGCATGTTATGTAGTTAGTGTGTGTTAATTTTAACAATGTATACTTAATTTATAGTTTTATCCAATAAAGGGCATGTTATGTAGTTAGTGTGTGTTAATTTTAACAATGTATATTTAATTTATAGTTTTATCCAATAAAGGGCATGTTATGTAGTTAGTGTGTGTTAATTTTAACAATGTATATTTAATTTATAGTTTTATCCAATAAAGGGCATGTTATGTAGTTAGTGTGTGTTAATTTTAATAATGTATGTTTAATTTATAGTTTTATCCAATAAAGGG